ATGCTACATCCCTGAGAGACTTGAGCCTATAACGTTCTTTGGAGAGTTATAAATCTGTGATTTCTTGTTTTCTAAAGTCGTTGCATGATCTCATCATTCTTTACTTAGTTGCTACTTAGAATGCGTTTCATCATTATAGTTCCAAATACTAGAACTCATGCCCATTTCATTCAAAGCATGATATTGATTGCATAACATACAATAGGATGAAGTTGTTTAGTTAAACCAAAGCCAAAAAGCCTAACCCTTTTGCATATGTATTGTAGGATTACCCCTTTTGAGCATTACCAAGCCTAATTTCTTTGTTAACCACATTACCCTCACCTAGCCTAGATTAGGACTTTCCATACCCTTGTTCTTAAAGGATAGTGAAGCATGACTTAGAATGAATTCCTTTTGATCAACATATTGCAGAAAACAAGTGTGGGGGAATGTAAAAGGGCACGGCAAAGAAAGAAAACAAAGAAAAAAAATGAGAAAAGTTGTGAAAAGAAAGAAAAAGAATTGAGAAATAAGTGAGAATGAACTCACAAGTATTGGTTGTTGAAGAAAGGGTCCAAAAGTTTGAATTTGACCCTAAGTTTTGTGTCAATCTTCCCTTTGTGTTTAAAAGATGATTTATGCCATCAAAAGTGAATTTAGGTGTCAATTTCATTACTTTGCTTCCTATTGCTTTAAGAACCTTTGTTTATCCTTTACCCTTCTTTCTTAGCCAATACCTTAGCCTCATTACAACCCTCAACTTCTATCTTGATGTTATGTGTTCAATATGTGGAGTTTGAAATTGGTATGAGCATATGGAATCCCTGGTTCTCATTCTAAGTAGTAGCATTCCATTCATGAGATCATATACATGTCATTGTCATAGTTCCAGAAAGTGCTTTCTTTGTTATAACATATGTGAGTGCTAGTCTACATGTTTACATCAATCTTCTCACATATACCTAGTGTAGGGAGTGTAGTCAGAAAATCTGTGTGAAAATAGAGAGTATTCTAGTGAGGAATTGAGGAAATTCTCTAAGGCATGTTATTACATTCAAAATGTTGTTTTAATTGATTAAATGTGAACTAGTAAGTGGTAACTATGGTTAAGTGTTTGTTCAAGTGTAAGGAGAGCTAAAAACCGTGGGAGTAGTGTTCTTTAATGTGTCATGTTCATTGGAAATCCCTGAGGTAAATGTTGGAAGGTCTAGAGTGTTTTGTTTTATTTCTTTTGTTTTGTTTTGCTCGAGGACTAGCAAAAGCTAAGTGTGGGGGAATTTGATAGGAGCATATTTAGGCGACTTAGTTAGCTTGTTTTCTTACATTTATGTTGTTAGTTCATAGTTATTTTAGTATTTTTAAGCTATTTTCGTTTGTTTATAGGTCCTTATGGTTAAAGTAGCAAGAAGGTGCATTTTGGAGCCTTTTGGAGCAAAATTGGACTTGGAATGGATAGCTTATGCTTGGAGCAAAAGGAATGGACGAAATTGAAGACCTAAAGATTTTAGGATTCCTATTCAAATAAGGATTCCTAATCAAAGAAGGTTTCCTACTTGAAGTAGGAAAGTTAAGCCAAGGTTTCCTATTTTGGTTTGACCTTTCCTAATCCTAAAAGCCCTTAGTTCCAGCAACATTGAAGGTCTCTTATGCATTTTAGGACACAAACTAAACCTTCCTTACACCATTTTAACCCTTGTCGTGGCTTGCCTTAACTTGTCCCTTCCTTGTCGTGCAAGGGGATATCTTATTCCCTATTTTGTGTCCCAAGATCACATTCCTTTTTAACCATATTCAATGCCGCACCTTACCTTCCTATTCTATCCTAAATCTTTGCCTAATTTCAGCCTTAAATCACATTCCCTTTCCTATACTTCCTTGCTGCAAGTTCCCTTTCTTTTCCCTTTAAATTCTAACTTTAAGTCTCATTTTCGTTGTGGATTTGGGGTCTAATTCTTTCCTAAACCATTTAATAAAAGTTAAGATCCTTTCCCGCAAATAAAGAACCCTTTGCCGCACCCATAGAGAACCCTATTCATTCATATACACAATCATCCATCCTTCACCTTGGACACTACTCTTTGCCGCAGCCTTCATTCACTCTTACACCATTCCCATACTTTCATACCTTCAACCATACACTCATACACCATTCCTCTCCTTTGCCGCACTCCCTTACCAACCCAAATCCACTCCTAACCTAGAAACACATCCAAAATCATCCCCAAACCTTTGTGTCGCAGCACAACAAGGAAGAAGAAGAGAAGAAGAAGCCTTGGATGTTTTTACATTCAAGTTGGATTTTTGGAACGTTTTTAGGTGTAATCTATCTTTTGTTTTCAATGTTTAATTCAAGTTTTCTTTGTTTTGTTGTGAACATGAAAGGCTAAACCTGTTTTAGCTAGGGGAGGCTTTGAAACCATGATTATGTTTGTGATATGAATTGATTAATTCTAGTTGTGATTTCATAAATTGTGAATGCAATTTACTTAACCGTTTGATTGAGAACTTATTCTTGTATGTTGATTAGGGAGGCCTACTTAATTTGCATGCTTGAATTTGGTGCTAGAATATAAGGGAGTTTCACATAATCATTACAAACTTATATTCACAAGTAGTTAAGATTGTTTTCACAATCATGTTAAGTTAAATTCCTAGCATGAGTATCATGATGTCATAGTTACGAATGCTTTGTCAATACTTATGATTTTCATAGAACGTAATGATCTTTGATTGTATCTCTATTATGATGTCATGTAGGGAACTTTTGAAGAATGCTTTGGGTTGTCGAATGATGTCATCCAATCCAATAACTAAAGGAGAATCTGAGGGTTAATTAGTGATGTCACGGTTAATCTGGGGTATTGAGTTTCATAGTTTATTGAAAAAGCAACTGGAAATCAATTTGTGTTCAAATGTATCATGTGTGGAAGAGAATCCTCTAGCTAGCTAATCATCCATAGTTTTTCCCCAAATTCGTCCAAATCTTGTTTGAGTCTTTAAGTTACTTGTTTTCACTTTAAATTCGTCCAAAAACCCAATCCCCTTGTCTTTGTTGTGTCTAAATAGCTAGAATCTGTCCAAATTGTGTTTTTAAGTGTTTTGAGTCAAAACCAATTCTATTTTCGTCCAAATTAAGTCCTAGAGTCTAGTTTGAGTATATTTGATTGTTTTGTGTTGTTTTGAGCCTTTGTAGTTTGTTTTGAGTTTTATAAGTCTAGTTAAGAGTCTTTGAGTCTATTTGATTGTTTTTAAGTTTAGTTTTATGTTTTTGAGTCAGTTTTTATTAGATTAGCAATCCCTCCTAATCCCCGGCCTAGAATGATCCCTACTTACATCTTTACTACAATTGTCAATAACAGGGTTTAATTTGAGTGCTATTATTTATCACATCAAGGAACACTTGACTTTGGGATTGAATATGTGATTGGAAAATCTGCCTTGTCGATTGGCTATTGTGATAGTGACTGGAATGGATCTAAGGAGGATATGAAAACCTCCTCAGGGTATGCTTTTTCATTTGGGAGCGGAGCATTCTCATGGGCTTCAGTTAAGTAGCACAGTGTAGCACTTTGAACTACAGAAGCAAAGTATGTTAGTGCAGCTGAAGCAACCTCTCAGGCCATTTGGCTTAGGTTTGTGCTCGAGGACTTTGGAGAAGAGTAAGCTGCTGCAACTTCCCAATTCACTTCAGCTATATCCATGTCTAAGAATCCGGTGTTTCATCAAAAACCAAGCACATTGGCAGGAAGTTTCATTTCATTCGAGATTTAATTCAAGAAGGTGTGGTCGATTTGATTTACTGCAAGAGTGAAGAACAGATTGCAAACATCTTTACCAAGGCTCCTCCCAAGGACAGATTCAACTACTTGAGAAGCTTACTTGGTGTGAAATCAGTTAGCAATTTAAAAGGGAGTTTTGAAAAGTAAATTGCTTACTAATTTCTTGTTAGTAAATGATTTACTTATTCAATTTATCTTTGTCCTATTGTATAACTGTTTTTTGTTGTGCAACTTGTGCTCATATGCCAAGTGTAGGGTCTTAGATCAGTTTTCATTTTCAATGGCTCACATGCCTTGTAAGTGCCATGTGTCATAATCACAATGGCTCATTTATTTGAATGGCTGTGATGACTGATGTAAGAAAATGATCTATATGAATGAAATGCATCATTCTGCAACGGTTAGAATGTTGCAGGGATTATTCCATTTCTCACTCTAGCTTTTCACTCTCTCTCTACATTCTCTTGCTCCCTTCGTAATCCAAGAGTTCATAAATGAAAGACTACTCAAATCTCAACAATGGAGGGGTTTGACAGTAGGCCCAGTACGGAAGTATTCAAGAGACCCAATATAGGGTTTAGGTGTCCCAATATGGGTTTATTAGTACTGTCATATCAAATTATGATTACAATTACCATAAACATAAAATAGTGGCTATAGTTCTATATGGCGTCCAAATTTCAGTTATTTTTTCAAATTTCCCAAAATATTGTAGCCACTGGTCACAAATGGACAAAAATTTGCTTGAAGAGCAAACTGCATTATTTACACACCACACACATCTGGTGCAGGTGCTAGAGTGTGATATGCATGTGTGTACATAAGGGTCCACCTATATGCGTTTTTAGTCAAATTAGTAGGGTTGAATATCCAAATCAAACTGATCAAATCATAATAATCGATAGATATTTAATTGAATCAAACCAACTTTAATCCAATATAAGTTTGTTTTTTTTTCCAAATTTACACCTTAAGAGAAGAGAAATTAAAAGAAAACAATTTTTGCACAAACATATATGTCTAATACACCTTAAGATGATATTAATCTGGAGGAGACCATGCATTAAATAATGAAGGGATAAACCGAAACACTGGTGGGACTAAGATCATTTTCAGATAAGAAGATGAACAATTTTGTGTATGAAAATCACGTGGGACTCCATGGTGTTAATCCTACTTGGTGGGCCTTTCTTGTCCTCAACATCGATCAATTATATAGGGTCCATTACATTTAACCCTTGTATCTATAAACATCTAATATAAACCCAAATTTAAAATGTGTAGCTCAATTGAAAAACAATTGACCTAGTAATACAATAGTATTACACTTCTACCACTCATCCTCAACATGCGTTTCAGAATGCAACCCCCAGGCGTTTCAGAATATCATCCCATGACCGTTTCAAATCCAGCCGTTTTGCAGAAAACCATCCATAACAACATCATTGATTTCAATAATTACTACGTTTATTGGGAGAGATTGACAATCAGAAAATCGAACCGTTTTTGAGATTTGAATCGCACCATTCAACTTAAATGGAGATACTTTCAAACAACATGGTGTGTAGTGGGTCTTCAATGAATCCGATCATAATCTGTGCATTTAAACAGGTGATTATGATACGTTTTTACCTATTTATTTTATGAAAATTTGTATGGGTTTCATAGTATTTAATTTCGTTTGTTTCGTAGGTACATTATATACCGTTGGATAATGATAAAAATTTGGAGGAAGTAATCTATTCCAAATCGTTCATTCATATTCGACCAGAATTTCACTTGTAAGTATACTATATTTTTTGGTATGACGATTGTGTTGTTTACATTTCGGTGTGATTCTATATTGTGCGCTCATAATGTGTTTGAGGAAAGTCCTGAATGAATTTTATATGCCATGTTGGTAAATTGGCATAGTCTCATTCAATTTAACTAGTCTTTTGATTGTAACATGGAATATATCTTGTAGGTACATTCATTGTCTAACTGTTTTGGCTTTGTTTTGTCTTTTTCACTGTAGATTTGGGAATGGAAATAAACAGGAAACAGTTTGGAAAAATGCAATACCGAGCTGCATTTGGTCCATTTTTGAATGTTTTGAATGTTTTGAATGTTTTGAAATTGAAAATTCAGGAAGAACATCGAGACATTATAAAAGGAACATCATTTTGGGGTCTTTTCAAAGCTTATGATGGAGGGTTGGTTAGCGATGATATGTGTAGGAAGACTTATGTAGATATAATTAGAATAATTAATTGTTTCATTGTCGAGACATCTGAATTCAAATTTGGTGATAGGTGTGAAAAGTTAACAGGGTTTGAAGTTGAGGAGTTGCTTGGATTACCTAACTTTGGTCGGGATATAAATCTTAATGAACGTTGTTCAAAGTCTGAGGAAGGTTTCATTAAAAGAAATTTTAAAACAGTTGACAGAGTTACTAGGCAAAATATTGAATCTGCTATGATTACAATAGTAACAGGGAAAACACAACAGAATCGTGAGGATTTTGTATGCCTAATGTGTTTGCATCTTTGTATTACATTATTATTTTGTAATAGTGGTAGTACCATCTCTTGGAACATAACTTCCTGTTGTCAAGATGTTCGAACAATGGCGGGCTACAATTGGGCAAAAGCAACATCGGATTGTTTACAAAAACAACTGGTCAAGAATTTTGGAAAACCATCACATGTATCTGGATGTGTTGTGCTGTTACCGGTATGTATTGTACACTAATCGGGTGTGTTAATTTATAATTCATTCTTTATGCTTTGTAATTCGATGACCAGTTTATGTTTGTGTGTCAATAGTTTTGGTTTTGTGAGATAAGTTCATTGGTTGAACCTGTAAAAGGAAGAATGGATTTGGCACCCAAATTTGTGAAGTGGGATCTGCAGGTACTGCATGAGGCCATGTCAGCTATTGAATTTGATAGGCTACAGGTACGTTAAAATTGAACTTAACATTTTTTTTTTTTTAATTATTTTTTAATGCATGTTTGGTGATTTTGATATTAATGTTTTGACGATGGTTATCATTTTGGCTATTTTAAATTAGCGTGCATCAGAGTACACATGAATAGAAGTTTGAGGTGTGAACTTCACATTATGGTGTCCCCACACAGAGACAATGATCAAGACTTTCAGGTATGTCAGTTTTGGTTTTAACCTTTTGTCTCATGTTTTTAACGAATGCGTATTGTAATTTATTGTTTACTATATATCACAATGTATATATGTATTTATACACACACACACACACACACACAGAGGATGTAAATGATGTGCATAAGACCCCCGCCATTTGAATTTTGAAGAGCAAGTTTCGTAGCTATGAATCTCAACAACCAATTGCGGCCCATAAGTCTTTAGCGAAAAACGTGACCTCGTCAGTTACAGTTGCTAGTGTTACATCTGAAAAGGTAAAATTACTAATTTTGTGGTGGTATGTTGTTTGAAATTCGTTATATATAGAATAGTTGTATGGTGTAATATGTGTAGTAACTTGTTTACACTCTTACATGTTGGAACACCAGAAAAATTTTGATGTTGCGAATCATCGTTTGACAACCAGTGTGAGTGGTGGTTCTAATTTTGATGAGATTCGAACGAAAGAGGTGGTGAGTACTACTTCCAAAAAAGAGTTCAACCCGTCCAAAATGTTTCAACTCATCAGTTCACAAGACAATCTTTTCCACAAAGGTCTTAGCGAGTGCGAACTCGTTGAGGCACATCATGTACCGAAAAATTCTGAACTTAGTGTGGAACGACGACTGGAAAAGCTACGTTCAGAGAATAAGTCATTGAAGGAAGAGATAAAAAAGTTGAAAATTGAAGTTGAGGTAGCACAAGTGCATTCTGTTGTGTACCATGAAATGTGCTGCGATACTGAAGCTCTTGTTGCAGATGCATACAATCAGTATGATGATCTGTTGTCGGACCTTACGCATCTATTAGAATGCATAGAAAAGGAAATGGGTGAAAACAAACATGCCTCATCCCCTGAGATCGCTACATGGATTGTAAGGTTGAAAAGGAAACAAAGGAAACCGAAACGCTTGACTGGGTTTGTTTATGATGAGATGAAATCTTGGAGGGAACCCAAAAAGGCGAAGCTTAATGAGATAGTACCTAGTGTTGTGAATCCCGCCGAAAATGATGAGATTGTAGACGGCTCAGATAGGATCAGAAGCTATTGGTCGTCACACAGTCAAAGGGAAACAAAGAATTGGTATAACACTCGACCCTTCATGCATGTCAGTGTGGATGTACTTGTCAAATGAAGAACAAGATAGGATGCATCAATATTTTCTTTGTGCTGATTCTGGGTGAGTTTAAACGTCATTATAAATGTCTTATATATGATAATAATATTTTTTTACAAGGATGGGGTAGTGAAGAAAAAAAATATACTACGAAAACAGGGTTCCCTTCTGGAAAGGATCATACTCGGCTGTATATAAGGATGATTTGAGGGACCTGTTAACGGGGTCTGCTATAACGTGTAATGTAATTTGGATTAGTTAGTTTAATTAATATTAATTGCACTTATTTGATTAAGTTTTTTTCTTTAATATTTATAATCTTTTGTAGGTCATTGATACTTTCGAGGAATCATAAGGGTAGGTAAATTAAGAGTTGCCACATATGCAATCCATGTAAAATGAGAAATGATGTTAAAAAAATACGAAGAATCATAATTTACCGACAAAACGCAAATCCCTCTATGCAACCATGGAAAGATACGAATATCCTTTTAAATCGGGAAGATTCCGATTCGCACTCCAACACACAATGTGAGCCAGATTTGAACTTTCAATTGCTCTGATGTACCAAGCCAAGTGATTGTATGACAATGATTCGTCACCATGCATCATTTTTTTGGCTGATTCCTTCCCATACCACGCATTATAGTACGAAATATCCAATCCATAATATTTCTTAAAATCCTTTACGATCTCAGTAGGCTTCAACATTGGCTTGGAAGAAGCTTGCTCCACGAGAACGGATGAGACCACTTTGGATGACATCATGCCACCTTTCCGTTCACGAATCAACCCGCTGCAAGTGTGTGTGTTGTTCAACGTACGAATATAAAAAAAACCATTGGCATGACACAAAGTGGCAGTGCACCCGCCACATACAACCTTCAGATAGTTTTTTAGAACACTCAGCTATCACTCTCTCCTTTTCATTTTTTAAAAAAGCTATCCTAAGTTTGTCTCTAAACTCAAAGACCACCACCCCCCCCCCCCCCCCAAAAAAAAAACCTTTGCCCAACGTGATTAATATAGGTTTTCCATGGGTGAGATAGATAAGTTTGTGGCAGTGGTGCATCATATTTTCCAATGAAGTCATTGGTATTACTAGGTGTAGCACCATCCCAAACGTTGAAGGAAAATCCATTCCTATTAACACCACTATTACCTTCACATGGTGATTGACACTCGTTAACAATAATAGTCACTGAATTTTGCTTGTTATTATAACATGACAAATGTAACACACGCACATCTAAATCAGATTTTAACAAGTAGGGAGGATGGTCAGGGACAACATAAGTCATTTGGAATTCCCCAACTATGAGCTCATCAAACCATGAACACACTTCAGAGCACAATCCCACGAAAGAGGTATCGGCATATATTAGAATTGCTGCTGATGTGTTTTTGGAAACACATCTTGCAATGATGGGTCCCTCCCTTTTACTCCTAATAGTAAAACAACAATGAAATATATGTCAGTTGGTGAAATATATGGTAGGTTAATTAACAAACAATATGAAGAAAACAAAATGAACATAGATAAAAACAAAGGATACAAATACGTTGTATCTTTTTTCTGCCTAATCCGTATTTTGATAACACAATCACTCAAAAACCGCACTGGACTCAAGTATAAATGATCAAAATATAGAAAAAAAACCCAATGTGAGACCAACCTAATAAACTTTCGAATTTATATAGAACTAGAACTACACTAATTTCAGGATAAACACATGCAATAAAAGCAAAAAAACCAAAATTAGTGCCTTTTCATGTTTTAAATTTGGTAAGAAGATAAAAAATTGAAATAAAATGCCTAATTTTATGAAAATTTAAAAATATAGACAATGAATTCAAAAATATGCATAAATATTCAAGTCCTACCTTTATCTCAAAACACTCCTTATATGGAGTTTGGAAATGGTAAATAAAATGTATTCCAACTATTATGTTAGTTTTCAACATGATATATTATGAGAAAAATATGCATAAACATTCAAGATTTAATATATCTGATTCTTTAATTTCTTTATTATTGAAATTGAGAAAAATATGCATAAATATTCAGGATTAAATATAGTCATTTAAATTAATAAAGTCATTCAATACATAAAACAATTCAAAAATCGTATAGTTTTTAAGACATTCATTCTCATATTCCATGTTAATATGTAATTAGTTTAAATGAACCATTGATTCGGCTATATCTATATACACATTATGTGACAGCCCGTCCGAACTTTTCGTACCGTAGGGGTGAAATGATGGTTTTGCCCCTAGTAGGTTTGTTTCGTTGTGTGGTCGTTTTTGGGTTTTGGTTGGTTGATTTTGGACCACACACACACCCACGCTCATTTCTCTCTCTCTCTGCCCTGTCCTGAGACCCTCTCTCCCCCCCTTTCCTATCTTCTTCATACGGACAACACCCAAAACCCTTGAAATCGTCACGGATTGAGGAAACAAACTACATATTTGTGCTCATGAGGTCCTTAGGAGTTCAACCATACCCATTTCAGGTAAGGGAACCTTCATTTTCACGTCGAACCCGAGAGGTGTAAATCGGGTATTGTTCATGCACACGTTAATTCTTATGTTTTTGGAAATTTCAAGCTTGTAGGAAGCTTGGTGAGGTCCTTAGGAGGCTCGGGGTGGTTCTTTGAATGTTTTGGACGTCGGGATCATGAGTTGTAGGTTTGGTCGAATGTGGTGGAGTTCTGGCGAGATTCCGTTGGTTTTAGTGCTTGAAAGTGGTAAGGATTTGTTCCTCTTGTTGTAAGCTTCATTTTGTTACCAATTTTGTGAAATTTGGTTGAAAAACGAAGGAGATATCAAGTTTTGAAATTTTCCCGGTTTTCTGGCACCGGTGATGGCGCCAGAGGTTGGCCGGAGAAGATGATGGAATATTCTGTCAGTTTGGACGAAATATTCCTAACGGCGTTAACAAAATCAGTTAGACTTAACGAAATATTCCTGACGGCGTTAACTGACGCTGTCAGTGTGCCAGACACGTGCCTGCGTGTGTGGCCGTGCCTTGGCCGGCGTGTGGGGGCTTATGCGGTGTCAAAAAATTATTTTAAAAATATAGGGATGTTCGTGAGGTTGAGTAGATCACATTGGTGTATTCATACACCCCATTTGAGCATTGTACGAGAAATTATTTCGTAATGTTGGTTATGTGCTTTAAAATTAACGTTTTTGTAGTTGTTTCGCATATAGGTGAGACCTATCCCAAGGACGAGTGCGGTCACTCGAGGTAAGGGGGTTACGACTGATGCGAAAATAGTTAAGCACACAAATTAACCCTCTTGTTGTCAAATTGTAGTAAGGATGCAAGTAGGGATCATTCTAGACCGGGGATTAGGAGGGCTTGCTAAAACCTCTAAACTGACTCAAAAACATAAAAACAAAGTTGAAAACGTTCACAAAGACTCAAAGGACTCAAAACAGGTTCAAAAGACTCAAAACTGCCTAGAAACACTAACTAGGCAGTTTCTGACCTTAAACACAATTTTTGACGAATTTAAGATTATAAGTTGATTCAAAACACTTTAAAACACAAACTAAACAGATTCTAAACACTATAGAACAAGAAAGTAAAGGGGGGTTTTGATTTGACGAAAATTGAAATAACAAAACAAGTTATAAAACTAGGCAGATTGTAAAACGAATTCCTTGAAAACAAGATGATGGATGGATTAGTTAGAGGTCCATTCTCCACACATGACACATTTGAATATGAATCGATTCTCCAATTGCTTTTCACTAACTATGATGCTCAACACCCCAAGTTAACCGTGATGCACTAATTAACCTTCAAATTTTCCTTATGTCAATGAATTGGATGATGCATGCGACAATTCATATTATTCTCCAACGGTCCTCAACATGAATGCATAGAAGAGATACAGTGAGAGATCATTATGCTCTATGAAAATTATAAGTGTTGACGAGGCAATTGTAACTATGAATGCATGATACTCTTGCCAAGAATTCAATTAACGCGGTTGTGACTAGCAACCTTCACTACTCATGTTTATAAACTCGTGACAATTAGGTGAAACTCGTTTATAAACTAGCATCAAGTTCATGCATGAAAACTAAGTATGCATCCTTAATCAACATACAAGAACAAGTTTTGAATAAAACAGATAATTGAATTGCAATAACAACTTAACAAATCACAATTGGAAGAAATCAATTCATATCCCAAACATGTTCATGGCTTCAAACTTTCCCCTAACTAATTAGGGGTTTAGCCACTCATGATTACAGCAAACTTAGAAGGTAATAACAAAGTAAACATTGAAAACAAGAACAAAGTACACCTAAGAACGCTCCAATCTGCAAGCATGAAACGTTTAAGGCCTCCTTCCTCTCCTAGTTGCTGCGGCACAAGGGATTATGGTGAGTTTAGGGGTTATGGATGATGTAGAAGGATGGATTTAGGGTTGGGATGGATGTAGGGGACGGCAAAACTTAGTTTTGGGCAGAAAATATGGAGAATTATGAAGTATGGATGTGTTAGAAGGATGGGATGAATTTCTGGCGTGAATGGTGAATGAATGGAGAGTTTTGTGGCTGCAACAAGGATGTTTATTTATATGATTTCAGGAATTAAAACCCTAGGTTATTTAGGTAATTAGAAATTAAGTCAAAGGCTCTAGAAATAGGAAAGAACCCTCTCCCTTGCACGGCAAGGAAGAGGAAAGTTTAAGGGAGGTGCACGGCAAGGCTTGCATAGGAAATAAGTAAGTGTTTAATTCCCCAAATCAATTCTAAGAATCAGGAATTAAGTTAAATCCCTCTAGAATAGGTAATTGAAATCAGGAATTAGGGGAAAAAGGGCTAAGTCTTGCGGCGCAAGGAGGAAAAGAAAGGGAAAGTGCAAAACTTGCAGATTTTGGGTGAAAGGGAATGTATAGGTGCGGCTAAGACTTTTAAGAGAGGGATTGTGACATAATCTTGCAGATTTTGGGAAATAAAAGGAAGGTAAGGTGCGGCACAATTTAGGACATGTCTAGGGCTTCTAGAACATGTGATTTAGGCAACCAACATTATTTGGAAATTTGCATAATTGGAAACCTTTCAAGAATAGAAACTCCCCATAATTGGAAACTAGTTTCCAATTCTTGATTCCTCCTTCTTCCTTCAATTCTAGGCTCACTTGGCCTTCAATTTCGTCCAACACTTTGGCTCCAAGCATAAGCTATCCATCCTTAGCCCAAAAGTGCTCCAAAAGGCTCCAAAATGCACTTCTTTGCTCCTTTAGCCCTTAGAACCTGAAAACATACAAAAATGGCTTAAAAGACTTAAAGAACTGAGAAATAACAACGTAAATGCACAAGAACA